AGTGGATAAGCTATTTGAGCAGAAAACTGTCTTTTTCCTTATGTGTTTTATTCATTTCTGGGAAAAAAAACCCCAGACCTCTGTTAATTGAGTGGATAAGCTATTTGAGCAGAAAACTGTCTTTTTCCTTATGTGTTTGTATAGTACCTAGAAAACTGGGTCCCTGGTCCCTCATGGGTGCCTTCAGGATCTCCCACAGTATTAAAGTAAATGATAAGTATGTGGGGTACTATGCATAATATGAGCAAAAGGACAACTTTCCTTAGAGGACTGGCTACATTGTGCATTGCTGCATTCCATGTTGTGCTTCCAGACTGCAAATATTACAGGAGATTCTCCCCTATTCATAAGATTTATACCCTGTTCAAAATAGTATATAAACATCAGGCCATGGCTTCTGTATTATTAGAGTTTTGCAGGAACTCTGCAGAATTTATCCGCTTTGCACTGATTCATATCGAGGTAGAAAGCACCAGATGCACTCCTGGATACGTCATGCAGAGTGGACAGAGTGACAAGGGTGGGGGGCAGATTTGGGGGTGCCTGGCTAGAGTGTAAACCATGCAGCAATTTCCGTGCAGTTGATAAGCTCCGTGCAAATCCTTCCCACAAGCATTGCTGAGTGTATTTGGGACAGCAAACAGTAGTACACAGTTGCTCATCTGTGTTCTCCCTCTCTAGACCAATGATGTATGTAGACTGCAACTAAATTATGCACGTTCTTATTCAGCAGGGGAACATATGGGTATAAGAATTTAGAGGAACTACGAATGATATATGATATGGGGTATATAAACAATAAATTTTGCCACATAAACATAATTGCTTCTGTTCTTACAGAACTGGAAAAAATAAATGAAGAGAATATAGGGGATTTAAATCTCTGACTATTAAAGAAGCATTAGATAGGATGTTTTATGAAATCGTACTTGAAAAATCTCTTAACTGTCTTGAATGAGAAAACTGTCACATTGATGGAAAAACTGTCTGAAGGGCAGTAATTAAAGGAAAGGTAATGACAAACAGCAAGGAATTATAGAGAGAGGAGGTATCTTGCTGGATACTGCAGGGATTGTAGGTAGGCCTTTATTTAGCATCCTCATTAGTGATATGGAGAGGGATTGAACAGCATGTAAATGAAACATGCAGATGATATGAAATGGCAAGACTGGAAACAGGATTGAAGGTACAGAAATACCAATATATAGGCAGTGGAATAACAAGGCTGGGGAGGAGTGACCAGGGCACCAGCCCCCTAGGCAGGGGTGACACATAGGGGGTGCACGTGGGTGCATGTGTACGCTGCTGGCAGCGTCTGCAGGCAGTCCGCGATCCTCGCTAGATGCCACCGCTGTTGCTGGCAGCATCTATGGGTAATTGCCAACCCCTGGTTGGTGCTCACCACCCCACCCCACCACCACTGACAGCGCCAGCAGTGTCTGTGGGAGCTCCCTTGCTTACTGCCGCCACACTCTGACCACTGTTGCTGCACTCCTGCTGCCACTGTGCCTCCCCAGTCGTGGGGGGCACGTGTCGTTCATGTCCCCAGGTGCCAACTTTGGGGTAAGGGGGGGACTACAAAATAGCAACCGCTGCTGCTACTCCTCTCCTGACTGCTGTGCCACTGCTGGTCATCTGGCTAGGACTACTGCCCCATATGCCACTGCTGGCTAGGTCACAGAACTGTTCAGATATGCCATTGTACAAGGGGCCCTGAGGCGATAGAATCATAGACAGAAAATAATAGCACATAGTTCAATCTGATGTTGTGTGATTAATACATGTGGAGGACAGTAACCTGAAATAGATATTTGGTGAGAAGGAGGAAGCTGGAGGGCCATCTTGATATAAGAGACCCAGGCATGATGGTGGAGAGGAAGCTTGACACAAATTTACAAGTTATAGGGCAGTGCCAAAAGCCATATTTTGAGCTGTGCAAGCAGAAACATCATGTCACAAATTAGAGCCGTGACAGTTCCTCTTTATGCAGTAACTGCGTTCTCTTCTCGGCGTACTCTTATTGACTGAGAAATACTGACAAATGGGGAAGTGTTCACAGAATAGCTGTAAGAAAGTGACTGCATTGAGGCTGAGCTTAGCTTGGCTAAACAACATGTGACACTGGAATGCAAGCGTACAAATGTCTGAAGATTGAAAGTACCAAGGTCCTGATTCAGCAAAATCCTTAGCACATGTCTAACTTTAAATACATGACTCATAACAATAAAAAGAATGGGGCAACTCTCACGCTTAGAATTAAGTGTGTGTTTGAATACTGTGCTGAACAGGGGCCAAAGAAGGGGGAGAAATTAATGTACTATGAGGGAGTTTACCTAGGAGAAACAGCATGGAGCTTAGAAAGAAAAAATTCAAGCTGAAAACTGGGGAGACATCTTATGACTTGGGATATATAAAACTAGATTGGACCTAAAACTCCTGGATTCCTATGAAAAATTGACTGGTATGGCATATGAGTTGGGCAGATTCTTAGTTTTTGTTTGTATATATGTTGAGCAATATATAAACAATTACAATTGGATAGAGCTAGACTTTTAAGTTAAAAATATGATGCTTCTCTCTTGACACATGAAATTGTTCCTCGCTATCTTCTGTTAAACTATGAGGAAATCGCTGAAGGTCTGTAGTTATATGTTGAGAGCCTGTTACTGGAAGAGCAATAATACTGATATAGCACATTGCAGATATTGGTCTCACTGCTTCTTTGTGAGATAAGCAGGTAAATATTACTATTCCTGTTCTGCAGGGAAGGACATTAAGGGGCAAGGCCAAAGCCCACAAAGTGGAACAGAACGGGTCAGGACTAGAATTCAAACTCTGGTGTAGAGAAGCAGAGATCCTTTGTGAGAAGGAGGGGAAAATGAGCTATGACACCAATTTTAATCTATATAATATTTTAAGAGGTAAAATGGGTGGAGGGTAAACAGAAACCCCAAACTGTTTATCTAAAGCACTGAATACAATCTCAGCTGGGTTTGGGTAAAGAATTGTGCAGTGGACCCTTGATGAGACACTGTGGGTGCCTCTACATGTGCAGTGCGGCTGCTGCTCTGATGCGCTGTAATTACAACATGTTGGAGCAGACTCAATTAATCAAGTCTGCTGGAGTATTGCAATTACCGTGCTCCAACAGACTCACCATCACACGTATCAGCGTCCCTGCACTGGAAAATGGTGGCAGGAGCACTTTAACTAAAGGTCATTTGACAAGCTTTAGTTAAAGCGCCCCCGCCACCATTTTTCAGTGCAGGGACACTGATACATGAGACGCTCTGGGCACTTTAAATAGAGCAGCTCTCAGAGCCGCTCTAATTAAAGCACCCCCCTCTGTCCCCCACACACAGAGTCCTGGAGCACGTGTATAAATGCCCTTTAACACTGTGAGGTTGCTTCTTTTCCCATGCCAGACTGTCACGGCTGCCACCAGGAGGGGTGCCCGTGCTACATCCAACTCACTGTGAAAGAGCAGTGGTTGCTAGCTGGACCTTCCATGTGAGAGCTCTGAGACTCTGGAACTTGCTTCTTCCAGAGGCTCTGAAAGAGCCCAAATCTGGTGTCAGCCTTGGCCTGCTGCAAAGGACACCTCTGTTTGATAGTATTTGGGCAGAAAGGCAACAGAAACTATATTTCCCATAATGGTGAATGCATTTCTGTAGGTGTGTTCAGCTACCTGGCTGAGTTTCTGTGAAAATTATTGCTCTAATGGTGCTTATGTTAATTAGAAGTTAGGATGCCCACAGTCTTGGAAAGGCACCTTGTGTTATTTCAAGTTAAATAAATACATAAATAAAATAAATATCCTATGATAAGGATAAGCGTGGAAGCACATCAGAAATAACCCAAAAGGTACAGGTGGGGAAATATCACTGAATAAGAGGGTGGGAAGAGGAGGTTGCCATGAGATTCCCTAATACAACAGGGGAGCAATACCTGCCTTGAGACCATTCTTAGGTTGCCAGTCTGCTAACCAACAGGGAATGAAAAGGGAAGGATGGGGCATATTGATGCTATTTGTACTGTAACAGCTTTGAGTAGTTCCAATCTCTATTCAGAACTTGTCTACACAAAAGTTATTCTGGAATAACATTTCTGTTTTAAATTCATGCCCTGTCTTATTCTGGAATAACTTTCATGTGTAGACAAGCCCTTAGATTTTGCAGAGTTCCAGACTGGGTCTGTTTTCCTTACAGTTTTATTGCTTTATTGTGATTCTCTGTCTCTTTTTTTCAGTGCTGCTTATTTCCCTAGATTCTCTGTCTCTTTTTTTCAGTGCTGCTTGTTCTCCTACAACCCAGGTGAGTTTACAACGATTTAGGAATTTCACCCAGAACACAGGGAAAAAATGAAAGTAATAATAATCACCCCTCCCCCAACCTCTAATGGAAGGGAGTAATAGATGAGTGGGTTGGAATTCTTGGTCAAATTCTGACAGTTTTGCCCGGTTGGGGTAAAACTCATGTTTTCTAAGTACTAGATTTGTTCAGAAGGTAAATGGTCCATTTAAAAAAAAATGGTTCTGATTACTAAAACACGTCTAGCATTTACGAGACAGATCGTCACAAGCTTTAGGAACTATGCTGCATTCTGCACTAATACAACACTTTAAAGAAGGAGTTATTTCCCAATCCTAAACTTTTACGTGCTAGATGCTAATATAATCTATCTAGACTGTTTCGCCTGTAAGAAACAGAAAAAAGGCAAGGCAGTTTTCAGATAAAAGCCTCTGTGTGCATGCCAAGCAGGGTGCAACTTAAGGGGAAGGTGCTGCATATCCCACGCACCCTGAACTCTTAACTAAAACCAATGGGTGCTGAGGAGCCCTGGCACTTCCCTGGGAGTGATTAATGCCTTGCACTTCTCAAAAAATCCTATTTGTAAATGTAAGTGAATGTTAATCCTTGTTAAAGGCGATGGCTTGACAACCTTGGAAACTAAGTATTTCCTAGCGAACAGGTCATGCAGGCTCCCCGACTCTGTCTTGTCAACATGCTTTAATTCTGTTATGGAGGGATGAAAACATAGTTTAGTTTCCGTTAATTCCTTGGCCTTTGCTGAGGATGCCAACAGTGCAAGTTGTGTTAGGTGGATACTTTTCCATCAAGAGCTGAATAAGACCATCTGTTCATCTCACAGAAGACAGTCATCAGCTAGTAACATCATGCCACTGCTCACTAAGGGATTGATCCCCCAAATGCCAAGCCCTTAGACAAGAGAGACAAAGGAAAAGAGCTGTTATTTGACATCTCTCCTTCCTCCCAGGACTATTTGCCACATCTACAATTGAACATGCAGATCTCAGATCACCCTCCTGAGTCATTGAGGGACTCACCAGTGACTTCCCTATTCACTGGAAGATGCATCATCCTCATATTGAGGGATTGCCACTGAAGACAGCTAAGCTCCTTCTGAGAGATAATGGGTAACTCAATTCCCATTGATTTCAAAGGGGGTTGAAGAGACTCAGCACTTGGCTGCACCAGGAGCCAGGGCTGAATTTGAATTGGAAGTTGAAGTTGAAAGGCTCCCCAGGTACACTGCCTTTACTAGAAGCTGATTACACCCATCCCCTCTCAGGAGGTACTCACTACTTTTCATAGATTCAACCATAGCTGTTAAGGCCAGAAGAGATCACTATGACCCTCTCTTGTGACCTCCTGTCAAGTACTGGCCATATTACCTTACTCAGCAATTCCTGAATCAACCACAGTGACTTGTACAAGAACTAAAGTCTCTTCCTGAATACATCTTCTCACGATCTGAAGACTTTAAAGGATGGAGAATCTACCAAACTGGTCCAGAGAGATTGCTCTCACTGCTTAAAAAAATGCAACTTATTTCCAATCTGAATTTCTTCTAGCTTCAATTTAGGACCTGCAAAGCAGCCATTTTTAAAGAAAAAAACCTATATCATAGCTTCTTTTTAAAACCAAGAGAATAGAGGGAAACCTTTTTGGACCTAACTGTTCCATCATGCATGATATGGAGAATGACTCACTGTCCAGGGACTTTAACTACCCCTCAGAGTAGGAGAAGATAAAGAAAGAATTGTAGCCTTAACTTTTAATTTGCTTGTTAGCCTGGCTCTTGACTTCAGTGAGGTTTTGCCTGTGGTGGACTTCAGGATTTAAACCATAGATTTTTCTTTTTCAGTAGTAGTGTAGTACTACATACTGGCATTTACTTACTGCTTCATGAATGCTATGTTCTCATTTCACTAGATGTTAATTTCCGTTAGATGTTCTTGCCTTTAAAGAGACAGTATTGGTTCAGTGACTCTCAATTAAATATTCTACCATCTGAAAAGCATTAGAGCTCTAGAGAGCTAATCATCAATAGCTAAATTATAACAGGGGAAACATTCGATCTGAAGCTTAAGCACAAAAATAGTTAAAGAAGTTAATCATATTTTGTGGTGCTCGCACAAACGGCATTTCAAGTACAATAATTTATTTTAAATATGTTATTGTTTAGGGGATGTGCGTTTTTAGCTTTCCTGGAAGAAAACTTTACCTTAATTAGCCAACTCTAATCCAAATTATGATTTCTGATTTGTTAAAGATGCTAAAATAACATAAATAACTGCATATGTCTGTGCACTAACAAAAAAAGTTGCTATAACAAAAATTATCTGAATGCACGCAGGATAAAAATAAGCAGGAGGTGGATTGGACAGTCGGCACATTATGAGTTGGAATAAAAACATCTTAGTTAAGCCAAAAACATGGCAACCAATATTTTCTGTTATAAAAATATTTTAGATGAATTTTGTTTTTAGAAAGCTGTCTGAAATGGAAATGAGTAGTAGGATTTGTCTATCTGCAAGTCAATAATAATACCTGAAGCACAACACAAGACCTGCTGTAAAACACTGCCAATAAAGCTTTGCTGTTATTAAACATCCACTTTGCCACTGAGTAAGAATTTTTATATGTTTATGCTCTTTCACACTAGCCTCCACCTTGACAATGCCTGTCATCTGAAGCAAATTGTGTGACAGCTCTTGCTGAAGTGGATTACTACTGTCCACTAGAGGCTGTAATGAGACCAGCAATGTCATTTTATGACAGACCTAAGAGGTAGAACTACAATAATCTATTTAATTTTAAAATTAAAGAGGTGCTGTGTGCGCTGAATAATCAACAGTCACCTTTTCCTGATGGAACTGAAATGAATTCTGCATTTTTTAATGTTGAAAATTATACTTAAAAAGTCCAGCCTTGTTGTACCTTTCATTCTCCCATTTATCATAATGATTATTTCATGTGTAATACACATACTATAGATGACATTACAATGAGTGTGTTGACCCAGGATGTCTTGTGGGCATTGTGCGTCCTGCATGTCAGATTGATTAATATCCTTTGGTCATGAATTAATTCAGAAGGGAGTCATATCAGCTGCAGCATTTCACTGGTAGTAACTAAAACACTTAACGTGCTCTAGTCTGTATTGGTTATTATACCACACTCAGCACTGGACTGCCTTCCAGCAAAGCATAAAGCAATGTGCCTAACATCTGTATCATGTCCCCCGTCCCTGCCCCCTCCCCTCCACTCCCCAAGCAAGAATAGTGTGGGATAGAGTGTTTTGTTTTGGAATAATTTTTATTATTATATAGTTTATGCTCATATACATGGGCACATGTTTCTCTAGATTCATGTTAGGAGACAAAGTCAAACTGAGTTGAAGATAGTGAGGTTTGTGATGGTTCTTAGTTCCTGGTGGGAGTTCATTCTACTGTTTTGAGCTAGCCCCAGAGAAGGATCTGTCTCCCGCCCAAATGAGTTTTATTCTTATTGCAGGAAATTCCATTTTGCCAGAGGAGGTCTTCATCCTGGTTACTGTGTATGCTTATTTTCTGAAACAAATGACTCCTCCCCTCATAGGGCTTAGTCCTGCATGCCTTGTTTTGTCAAATCTCCCAGTTTAAATCAATAGGACACCTTACCTAACCAAAGGCTAAAAGGATTGGGCCCTGTGCCTCCCTTCTTTGGAAAAGGTCACGTTATGTGCCCCAGCTCTTCAGTATTAATCAGGTCTCTTGTCTTCAATGGCAAGTTGGATCTGTGCTCTGAGGCAAAGTTCCTGGATGTTGTGGAATCTAAAACCTTTGCTGTAGCTTTTCTAAAAGTAATTTCTGTAATCAAATATAAAAATCCAGTAGATGAAGCAGGCTGTGTTGTTTTGTTTATTCTAAAATGTCTGCATGTTTTTGGTTCCTGATCTGCCAAAGGGTTTTGTGCTGACACCATATATTTGTCCCTTACTCTGTGCTAGAAGAAGCTGGAAGAGTAGCAATTAATTAAAGTAGAACTAGGTGGAGTTTTTTGCCCATATGGAGGCAGTTTGGGTTTGTAGCAACTCCAAAAATTGCGTGTCAACTTTAGGACTGTCAATTAATCACAGTTAACTTAAGTGATTAATGGAAAAACAAATTAATGCATTAATTTTTTCAATTGTGTTAATCGCACACATCATTTTGACCAGTGGAGTGGACCAGCGCCAGACCAGCTGGGACCCACGTGCACAGCCCTGTCCCCGGCCCACTCCAAACCTGCTCCAGACACACCTGCCCACGCTGAGCAGTGGCAGCAGTAGCAGTGGCCAGGCAGAAGCTGCTAGCTGGCATGGAAGAAAATGCCCCTCCTCCTCATCACTGCTGGGGCCTTCTTGCTGCAGCCACCCAGAGCCCACACCTGGGCTGCCCTGCAGCTCCTCTCTGCTGCCATCACTGCCACCTCCGGGCTGCCCAGTGGTGGCAATGCAGAGAAGGCACAGGGCAATCCAAGTGTGGGCTTCAGGCAGCTGCAGCAAGAAGGGCTCAGCAGCAGTGATGGGAAGGGGCCTCTTTTCCTCCTTGCTGAGCAGCAGCTTCTGCCAGGCTGTTGCTGCTGCTCAATGTGGGCAGGTGAATCTGGAGCAGGCATGAGGCAGGCCAGGGATGGGGCTGTTTGCACAGGTTCTGGCTGGTCCACTCCAGCTGGGGAGAGTCTGGAGCAGACACGGTCTGGGCCAGGGTTGAGGCTGGGGCTGTGCGCTGTTGGTGGTGGCACGGAGGAACCACCCGCAGGGTACGCAGGCTTGGGTGGTGAGGAGGTACTGGCTGTTGTTTAACTGTGCGATTAATTGCGACTATTTTTTTTAATCTTGCAATTAATTGCGATGATTTTTTAAAATCATTTGTCAGCCCTAGTCAAATTGTTTGTAAACCCAGGAACTCCATGCTGCATCTGTTTATATTCAGTTTTACATTTTTAAAGGGTTCTTCTTAACTGAGGTCTAGAACTATAGATAAAGCTTACATTTTGAAAAACATTATTCCATGGCAAAGTATGGCAAACTTCACAGCCAGAGAATGGAACAATGAGCAGTGTTAATCTGTTGCAAAGGGGAAAGTTGTCCAAAGCTTGCTTCAGCATGAATGTGGCTTCTCTTTCTCCATATGTGCCACACCTGTTGGCAAGGCGGACATCTCCAAAGGAAGAGATTCCTTTCTACTGAGGTAACTCTCTGAAGTACAGAAGTAACAAGGTGACGGGGAGAGAATGCAGTGTGTGTTGAGCTGAACCCAGATTAAGGTGTTGCATTGTCACTAGCACTTTTACGTGGTTTTCAGTAATTCACCTTCTCGCCCTTTCTTTGATTACATTAATTAAACTTGCATAAGCTGGGAGAGGATGCTATTGAGGTCTGCATTGCTGCTGCAGATTGGCTACCCTGTGATGCTGAGTTGCATGTCTCCAAATGCCTGGGCTTGTTTCTGTCCCCAAAGCACTCAGAAAGCAGAGAATGCCATCCTTTTGTGCAGACCTTAACTAAAGGTTTAGATGTTGCAACAATAAAAGAACCTAATTCTTCATAAGCCTATACTAGATTGTTGTTTCCTATAGGTCAAAACCTTGGCAGCTTACAAAATTGTTTACATTTGCTCTTTAGTGAGTAATATATTTCTAAGTTATAGAAATGCTTCACTGACACCTGAGGGGCATCTAAACTAAAAAAGTGCCATTTGAGATCCTGCATTGGTGTGAGTGACCTGGTGCAAGTAGTGACAGTACAGAATGGCCACACGAGTCATCCTGTTTGGAGGAAATGCAGTACGTTCGGTCCAAATTAGAACCTCTTTTAAGTGTTGCCAAGGGTTATGAGGCATTGTACATATGCTACAATGTTCAGCACATCTCTCCTTAGAGCAGGTGTCATGATGTCTATGGCATACATAGGGCATTTGTGCGTGTTCCCATTGTGGTTACTTTTGCCTCAGAAGATGCTTGTGCATAATAAAGAACAAGGGTTACTCTGTGCTGTGTCCTCTCACTTGCTAATGCTGTGGCAGTCAAGAGCTTCTTCTGGACTCACTGCCAGGCCCTACCAGGACCTAGTAGGTTAGTAGGTAATACAACAAGCATGGCCAGCATTGGGCTTTGGTGCTTTAGGAGGAACAGCACTTGATTTTATGATGTGCTTTCACTTCCCCAGTACCCTCTTCAGTTTCAATTTTGTTCTCCCCTTTTTTTGGCTACTAAGATAATGGTTTGTTCTCTTCTGTGTTGTCTTCTAGGAAACTGGAGCCAGTCCAGAGGTCTCTGAGACAGGACATTTTCTTGGACTCTTTCTTGCCTCCAAGGGTGTCACTCTCCTGTCACCCTGACCTTCTGTAATGGAGCCGCTGAGACCCAAGGTCCTCCTCCAGGGGAACACAGGACAGTAACCAGTGGAAGCTGAACTACAATGGAGAAGTAAGTCATTTTTCCCCAAGGCAATAATTGGGACTGTCTTAGCCTCAGAGCAGGTATAATCAAGGCGGTGACACCTAAACAGACCTGTGCACTGTTGACACAGAGTACTACACTTGCACATACCTGGAATAAATTAGGGCAGCCTGTGTATGACACATGGCAGACTGGGGAGGACTCAGGCAGCACAGTGGCAGATAGGACAGGAAGCAATGCAGCAGATGGGGCAGGCAGCAGAAAAAGCAACAGATCCAGCAGAAGCCCAGGGCAGAAAGCAGAGCAGCAGATAGATCAGAGAAAGGAGATCAGAGTGCCCTTTGGGGAGGGTTTGGGGCTAATTTGTGACATGCTTGCCAAAAAAGACTGGACTCCACTGTATTAGGGTGTCCAGAGGGCCATTAGTATCCATATTTACCTAGTCTGACTAGGCCTTTCTTGAGGTTTAATGATGGACATGAGTAAAAGTCATCAAAGCCTTGATCAGGGAGCAAGTACCATGGGCAGAAACAAAGTAGACCCTGCTAATAGGATTGGCCCCCGTACAAAGCATGTTAAGCAGGATTTCCTAGGAGAAGAGAGGCAGGCTTTGGCTTCTGCTTCCTTAGGGCATCCCTCTGTCAGGCACCTTCAGGCAGGCACCTATCTCACAGGCCTGGGGGGTGGGGAGTCAGGGGGGAGGAATCCCAGCCTAGGTGAGACCAGCTGATCTCCACCATGTCCAGGAGGGATGGTGGCCAGGACAAAGCAGCTTCCCCAAGGCAGCCTCTAGCTAGCCACAGGAATCCTGGACATCCTCAGAGACCCCTGGGGTTGGGAGTGAGTAGGATGGTCCGGCTCCACAGGACGAGCACCTTGGAGATCAAACCAGATCGCTGGCCAGACACAGGCCCCTTGAGCATGTATATATATTTAAAGAAATTTGTCATGTTCCAAGCCAAATCAAGTCCAAATCCGTGAGTCAGTCCAGAACCATAAGTGGCCCTACAACCAGCAAACGTCCCCTACCCATACCAGGAACATCAGATGTTTCCAACATCTTTTGGCAGGCATCCAACTTGGGGATGCCTGAGTTTCACTTGCCCTCAGGCATATGGCTGCAGGAGCAAGCTAGGGAGGAGCCTCCCCTTTCCATGAAATGGACTTAAAGCCCAAACACCTTGGCAGGTACTAAACCACACCAGAAGAGCGCTTATCCTCCGGACGCTCAAGGAAAACTGTCTTCAGGGACTCAGATACATGGTGGTTCTCCTGCCAGGTAAGTATTGACAGGGTTGTATAGAAGCAGGATGTGGGCTGCCGTGGTTCCCCTGCTTTACCTGTGGCAGGGTCGGGGTTAGGTCTCTGTTGAGTCCTGGTTGGATGTAGACTTCTGCAGAGTTTAGATGAGGGCTGTAGGGATGGTTTGGCTAGGGCTGACAGTGCATCCGGCAGCGGGTCGGACCCGATGACCTCTGGAGGTCTTTTCCAGCCTGACTTCCCTCTGATTTCTACCAGACACCCACAAGGCGCTTCCGTCTCCGTGCATCCCTAACCCAAGGCCAGCGAGCAGGGCTGGCCTGGCAGAGGCCGGAGGAGCCCTGCAAAGGGTTAAGGCCGGCTTGGCCCGGCTCCGCTGTGCGTATGCTGTAATCTGTGTGGCTCTCTTTGGCCGCCTGCCAAAGTGTTGCCTTGCCTCCACCTCCTCCTCCCTCCCCTCCCCTCCTCCCTCTCTGCCTTGTGCATGAAGTCGGATCCTTGAGCTGTTGCAGAGGCAGCCAACTGCTCCATATTTGGCTTCGCTTACACACTGACATACCGGGGAGCGGAGCAGCCTCGTACCGCAGACATCCCTGCATCTACTACGGCGCTGGGGGCAGCCGGGACCCGCGTGTCACTCACTCGCTCCCGCCGCGGGGGAAGGAAGGAAGGAAGGAGCCCGGAGGAGCCAGCCCCGCTGCAGCACCCCCGCGCCCGGCCCGGCCCGGCTGGGTGCTGCTGCCTTCCCGCGCCCCTCCTCCAGTGACACTTTACAGTAAGTGGCTTTTTATTTCTCCTCTGCTTTTACCTCCCCCTCCCCCTTCCTCCTTCCCTGCAGCTGGAAAAAAAGAACGGCGGGGAGGGATCTTCTACCCTGTCCCTTCCTTGCTCTTGGGCACAAGGGCTTTGTGATCCCCTGGGAGTGTGTGTGGGGGATCATTGCACCCCCCCCTTGCTGTGCATGCAAGGGTTGGGGGGGGAGGGAAGGGATCTCCTACGCTGTCCCTCGCCCCCTCCCCTGCTCTTGGGCACAAGGGCTTTGTGGGAGCACGCACTGCACCCCGTCTGCTAGGGGGGGAAGGGGTCCTACCCTGTCCCTCCTGCACCCAGGCTCCTGCCCCTTCCCCTGCATGCCAGCTCGTGGGCACAAGGGCTTTGTGATCCCCTGC